GTTATAGTCAGTTCAGAATTAGCGAAATTTAATTCAGCATTATGGTAAGCTTGGTTTCTTCAATGGTTTAAATAAATGGATTGTAATACAGTCAGAACAAGTCCGTAGAAATGCCAAACTGTAAACTCTTTACTAAGGTAGCCATCAAGGTTGAGTGCTAACCCAAGCTTCGTTTCTTGCTGATAGTTACGGTCAACCAGTGAACGGCCTATATTTGAGTAAGTGCTATGTTTGCACATGATTGTAGTCCCATTAAAGGCCTAGACAGTTAAGATATAACACAGAGTGTAATAGTGCTTGGATAAAAAATTATTGCTAAGTATATATGTGACAGTTTAGCCAGGAGGGGCTTCAAAGACTTGAGAAATTAGGACTTGTGGGACATGCTGACCTGTAAGGTGTCTCATGAATCTGTGTAGGGCCTACGCGGTGGCATCTCGACAAGAATCTGAGCAGATTTGTAGGTGTTAGGGGAAGAAACACTTTTTATTTTGACCTAAAAAATTATTATTACCTTCTTGCGTCAAGGATCTAAATTCATGTTTAATTCTCGAGCTGTCAAAAATGCATTTTGCCATTTATATTTGTGGCCTCAACCATATATGCTGATTGGCATGCGCCACCCTACCTCCTCTTTTGATGCTGAGCTCGGATTTTTTCGAAATAACTGTAGTTATAGTATCGAACTGCTTTGAGCCCATCCCTACCATACTGCACACCGCACATTAGTGGATTTCGTGAAAAGTGCTACCCATTAGGTCACCAGACACATCGATGCATGAGGGGATTCTTTGTAGTATCACCCTTCTGCATGCATACATGTGCACAAACAGATCATTACCAACTACTGGGAAATTTAGAGTTTCTTAAAAATTTATTAAATATAGAAGTAGTTAGTATCACAGCAAACTAGGTTACAGTCTATTTAGCAGAGTGAAATGAGTAGTTGAACAACTAGTGATAAAGTTATGTGGAATAATTCTGAGGAAGACAGCTGGATAGCAGAACTGGTTATGTTAAATTTTCATGATCGCTTTTTATATGGTATGTGTTAGATATTGCAAAGTGGCTCATCAACTTATATTATAAAGAAAAATACTAAATGTCTTAGCATTAGACATTTTAGAAGTGGATCTGAAAGTAGTTAGCTGTTGACTGTAAGAAGTCATTTCTACACAATATAGCAGTGTATTGTAGCAATTATATACACATATGTAAAATAAAATACACGGTTGCTATTGCGGTTATTTTTATAAACAGTTACACTGACCCCATTTACTGAAGATTACAGGTAAGAGAAAATCAAAGAAATGGTTGGACATTCGCCGCATAAGTAATAGAATTGAAACAAATGTAACTGACTAAGCTGACGAGTGAACTGTCTTCGGTTAACCATGCTCCCGAAAATTATGATATTTAAGTTTAGCTCGAGTGGACATGTTATTGCGTTTTTCTGGACTCCGTTTGAGCCCACTGAACTCTTCACGAGAACTAATTTCAGATGCCAGTTGGTTCCGATGGGCGCAATATTTATTCGTGAAAAACATTGCCCTAATGTTTTTTCTGTGGTTAGCAACTTTAAGGAGGCAGCCTTCGCTGAGCAATTCATATGATTTAATTTTTGTTCGTGCCAAGTTGCAGGCTTTGTATGAATTGTTTCTTAATAAATTCGAAGAGCAGAAATAACTTGCACTTCACACTCCTTAACCTTACTTTTCCTAGTTTGATTCCTGTACACCTGTCAGGATATTACATTCATTGGCCGAAACTTGCTTTGCTTTTCATGATGAGCCTTTTGATATTTTCAAATTTATTTCGGTCCTCTGACCTTAGGACACTATATAGGTTGGCACACTATTCAAGCTTCAGGTGAACACCTGTCTTATATATAGCCAGTCTTGCTTTTTGAATGTAAAACTTAGACAGCCCGAATCGAGTGAACCATTCGCAGCCAGATACTACCTTGTTTGCATGATCGGAAAAGTTTAAATCCGAGTATGTTGTGCCCAAGATCTGTGAATGTGTTCAGGTTTTACTGGATGTACATGTATGGACACATGCTTGGCTTCCAGCATCTAAAGTAGGCTATACTGCAATTTTCAGCTGCTATTTTTTTGCTACAGCCTCCTAGAGTGCTTAAGTCTTGTTGGATTTAACTTTCAGCCATCATGTAGTCGTGCCTGAAATCATACACTATCTTGAGATCATCAGAGAAGAGCTATGGCTTGTCATACCTGATCATTGAGACTATGTCATGTATAAATAAGAGGAATAGAAAAGGGTCGGAAACGTAATCTTGTTTTACCCCGCTGCTCTTTGGCCTAGGTGCAGATAAGTGGCAGCTGATTTTGAACAACTGTCCCCTTTCTGTGAGAAGAGAACTTACCTACTTGAGAAGCTTTCCAGCTATTCCGTAGGACTGGAGTTTCACTCTGATATCTGTAGCTTTTCAAATGCTTTTCTAACGTCGAAAAACAATACTGACATGGAGTGCGCACTATCTGTGAATTTCGTAATATGGCCAAAATAATCTTAGTGGCAAGTAATGAGGGATGTTCTACATAAGAAGCCATATTTGAATGGGAGCAGTAGGTCATTAGAAAGCAAATAAATCGCAAATTAAACGGCCCCTTGGATGCCAATCTCTAATCTTTCCTTCCTTCAAATACGTGGCAGAGAGGTTATCACAAACCTTTCTGAAAGAGTCAAGCAAGTTGGTTCTGAGATTCAGTCTTTCTTATAGAGACGTCAACGTTTGAATCTTATCGATGTAGTCAATGGTATCCACCCCTTCGTGTAACACTTTCAGGGAAACGCTGGATTTTTAAGGAGTTATATAATGCATAAGTTATCACAGGCCACCAAAACTGTCTTATTTTCCTAAGTGCCAAGCACTAGGTTCATGCATTGGTAATTGAATCCACACAACTTGAGTAACTTTCGAGTGCGCAAAATACAAATGGTGTGTTACGTGAGTTTATTCAGTGTGGTGTTATGATATTCCGTACACAACCGGTTTAAAGCTGGACAAATCCTCATGTATATAAAACTCTTATCCCATAATTAAAAGTTATGCCTAGCCACTCTGTTAGCATAGAATAATTCCCGTTTTTTCATAGTCATGAGATAGCACATTTATCACATTATTTATTGGGCTGCATGCACCTCATTAATATAAGGCTTTATAATGCTTTATGCCCCAATAGATGTTAAGTGTGTATTAGAGTTTTGCCCTATCTTTTGTAACAGGAGTTTAATCTGTGTGTTATAGAAAATACCGGTTATCAACTTCGATGCAAATGGATACTGAAACATCCTCTAGTTATGCAACAGTTATCATGTGAATGAGGTCAGTAACTTTGTGGCTTTCTAATAGATCACTTCGTTCTGCACCTACGCATAGAGGTTTTCCGCAGTTAAATATTGATGCCATAAGTCTAAAGTAGATTATTGACTAGAAAACACACTTAAGTTTGAATCTGAAAATGTATTTGACTGGAATTTAAGGCATTATTATACTGTTGATTTGCACGAGGCTTCGGGATCGAAGTCGGGTTAATGTCAGCATTAGAGTTGTGTGTCAACTTAGTTTTTGGAATTGAATTATGGATCACTAGGGTTAATTTTCTTCTTATTTCTTAACTTCATTGAAAATTATCTACCATAATAAATGATAGCATCTGCTTTGTTGAACTTCTCAAGGCAGAAATTACGAAGATTGAGGTAGGCTGCTTGTCAAACTCCGTATCGCTGAAAACTAGTCTCCAATCATAACTGTAGAACTTAACGAAACAGTGCATAATTGTTATCAGAATGGCAGCACAGGAGATAAAAATTAAACTTAATTCCTATGGGTGTTGTGAGACATCGTTTAAGTGACTAATTTTGGGCACTCAGTTCATTATTCGCTTTAATTGAGTAATGTGAATATTGTGCATGGCATTCGATATCCAATTATCTCACTTAGTTGGAGCTAATTTAGACGGAATAGATTTTTAATGGATTGGGTTTCAGGCTACATATCTTATGTGAGCTCTATTGATAATACCTAATTGCTAAGACTGAATTGGGTAGTGTGGAAACCCATTCTGGGCCCTGTTGGCTAAAAGCTGAGTGCTAAATTTAGTGAGTCACATCTCAACTGTTCAGTCATCACCTACCTCTGTATTAATAATAAAATTGTTACATGACTGCCAATATAATCTTTACTAATATGTGTAGTTGTATGGCTGACTATGTCATGCGTCTAAAGCCTTCTCTACCTATCGAGGTTTAGTCAACCGGATAGTATTGTCAGCCTTCATCCTATTGGTGTGGCTATTTGTGCAGTGTACTAATATACATGTGGTTTTTGAATAAGACACCAGCATACACTTGCTTGTCTTGGAACATTTGAACTTGCGATGCGTGATGCGTTATCACGATTTGTGAAACGTAAGATGATATTCAAGTGTCAAAACTGAAGCATATACTAGTCTCACTGATTTAACTTCTAGACGAGAAATATGAGCTGAGCTGTTGACTGAAGTATGCCATATGAGTACGAACTTTTTTATGACCACTAATTTGAAGTCTAGATTTTCTCAGTTTTACTTTGTGAGCACTTCACATAGGGCTCAAACGATTTGGAATAAGAATGGTTAGGATATAGAGTGATGAGCAAAATTAATTTTTTTGTAAGTACACGTTGTTGTTTCTGTTTCATGTGTTAAGATTCCTTTTAGTCTAGCTCGTAATCATCTACAGAATTATGTATTTTGTAGTAAGCTCGTAATCGAAATCAATAGACTATGCGGTGGATGTTGATTAGTGTCACTCAGTAAAAAGTATAACATATATTTTGTTGTTTTTATTTGTTCTGTTATGCTTCACCTGTACCTTGTTAATTAATAACGGATTGCTTTTTATTTCCTAAAGACTTCAGTAATTATATTTATGGCTCGACCAAGTAATTGAAAATGTTTTTCCGAAATATATTCATTTCAGATTGAGTTTTAAGAATGTCATCGAAACCGATTTGTGACCGTGTTAACACATATGCTAACAGAACTATTGGTATACCGGGATATGAAGGGATACCTCACAATTTACTGATCAATGTTGTTGGTTGGGTGGTATGTCGTGTGATTAAAATCCAATATGCGCATAGGTTTTAATGTTTGGATTTTCATTGCTAAGGAAACTTGCATGGGACTATGGACGTATGGCTATGGTTCAACCGAAGAAGAATAGGTACGTCCAAAGTGTATGGTTTCATTGTTTTCTTTATCATTAAGCATAATTTACTTAGACAAAACTCTTAGTAATTAATAGTGCACAGAGTTATTAAAAGGCGAGAATTCAGGGTAAAAGTTGTTTTGAAATTACACTGTAGTAGTGGTGGTGTTTCTAGTGTCTCGCTGACTGAATTTAACAGTAAACACTATCCTGACTGTTTTCTGCATTCGCTTTTATTTCCTTCACGTTCCCCAGTGGAACATAGGGCTTCAAGCTAGAGGCTTAAAGTTTCTGTAGCAGTGTTTATTTTTACAGGATGGGGTTGCTAGCCTCATGTCCAACCTTTCCTCTACATCAGCTTTATTACTGGCTTAGCGAGGTAAAGGAGTGCGCTGGCCGGGGATCGAACCACGGACCATGTGCATTGATATAAATAAATAAATTGTGCTCGAAACGTCATCAGTAAATATTACTGTATAACACTGTGAGACTCTATCAAAATAAAATTTACCCATAATGGGACCATGTGCATGGTCGGCGAGCGTCCTAACCGCCATGCCACCGACGCACTGCATTCGCTTACTTCACATAAAACCAAATGACTAAAACCATATGACCACCATATTTGTCTTGCTAGAAACCTAAAGACCTTTCTTCTTATTTACCTGAGACATGTTCGGGATAATTAGATTTCTGTAACTGCCTCCAAAGCCTCAGGATGGTCGCGGGTGGGTGCCTTGCTCTGCGGGTTAGCCACCCCTCCGCACACCTCTTGAAATGCCCCCATATGACCGGGCGTCTTACATAGCCTCTCCTGAGGAAGTCCTACTCACTGCCTTCACGTGGCGGAGGTGTTTTTAACCAAAGTGAGAGGGCGAAAGCGGATGCCCGGCGCTCTTCACCGGGTTGACTGTCCATTGGATGACAGTCTAGGGGAGATGGCTAAACCCTGATTCCAAACCTCTAACGACTGGCGTATGAAGTTCACTGGAGCTCACCGGCAGACGTATGGACAAAGGGCTTGTTGGATGTCCTGGATGCCTGGCCCCATTCAAAAAGGCGTATGAAGTGAACTCCGGTCACCGGCTGCCAATGGATAGTGGACTCCCTACTCCACTCCTACTGCCTTGTAGGTCACACTTGGTTGTGTAAAGGTTAGAGCTGCACTCTCAAACAAAAGGCCGAGAGATTCTGGGGACATCACTCGTACCAAATTCCCATGAAACTTCATGAACTCTCAGTACAGTCAAGGCTGATATGGAGTGCCTGGGGCTACAAACCGTCTACGGAATCCGTCTGTGGAACAAGAATTGGATAACCCTGTCGCAAAACCTTACATCAGATCGCCGCGCCTGGGCAGCGATGATTCGAGATGTTCATGAAGCCGGCTCATCCTCCCGTAGGAGATAGCCGTAGTAAATTATTAAATTATTATATTAACTGCTATGAAGGCAGATTAAAGTTAAGAACAAGAATTCATGTGTTCACCTGTATGTACTTAAGGATAAATGACAATTTGTGTAGCAGGGTGTATGCAAGTAGTACATATTTGTCTGTAACAACGATATATTCTGTTAAAGTGAGGACACTAACACTATTCAGAGTCCTCTCAAATGTGTGGTAATGCTACAGGACTGGTATGCACCTGCTCCTAGCTTAAGGATAGAGGGTAAAATGTTTAGGTGTATTGATCACTTCATTTATTTTGTAATTCGTTTTGACCCCGATTAACTGATTGCTGACGGTACCAAAGGTTAATTTGCAACAAACCCAGTGAACTTCTTGCTGATAAAAGGTGAATACAGACATAAATACAGATATTCGCCAAATTGCGTCATTTTTGGCGTAGATGTAATTTATGTGTGTTTACGACAGTTCTCTGTGTCCTGAATGGCGGTCCTCGAGATGCTAAGAATGAATGATTATAGACTATAAGTGACATGGGCGAAGATCGTTTGTATTGACGCGGACGTATGCAGTCCTTGTCATTATCCTGATTCTGATGAGCAGCACTAATCTTTTTTTCTTTGTTCCCTCTAATGCACTTCCTCGTCCATTGTAGGTTTCTTAATTTTTCTACTTTTATGTTTACTTTCCACAAGGGTGACAATTTAAATTAATGTACTTCCCGGTGACTAATTTACTTAACTTTACTTCGGCTATCTCCTACGGGAGGATGAGCCGGCTTCATGAACATGAGTTCATGAAGTTTCATGGGAATTCGGTACGAGTGATGTCCCCAGAATCGCTCGGCCTTTTGTTTGAGAGTGCAGCTCTAGCCTTTACACAACCAAGTGTGACCTACAAGGCAGTAGGAGTGGAGTAGGGAGTCCACTATCCATTGGCAGCCGGTGACCGGAGTTCACTTCATACGCCATTTTGAATGGGGCCATACATCCAGGACATCCAACAAGCCCTTTGTCCATACGTCTGCCGGTGAGCTCCAGTGAGCTTCATACGCCAGTCGTTGGAGGTCTGGAATCAGGGTTTAGCCATCTCCCCTAGACTGTCATCCAATGGACAGTCAACCCGGTGAAGAGCGCCGGGCATCCGCTTTCGCCCTCTCACTTTGGTGAAAAACACCTTCGCCACGTGAAGGCAGTGAGTAGGACTTCCTCAGGAGAGGCTATGTAAGACGCCTGATCATATGGGAGCATTTCAAGAGGTGTGCGGAGGGGTGGCCAACCCGCAGCGCAAGGCACCCACCCCCGACCATCCTGAGGCTTTGGAGGCTGCAAGTACTAACCGGGCCCAACGTTGCTTAACTTCGGTGATCGGACGAGAACCGGTGCTCTCAACGTGGTATGGTCGCCGACCTTTCCTGTGACACTATAGGTTGTCAATTCAGTCTTTTTTGTAGCGATGTTTTAGAGTTAGTTGGTGGCTTATTGTTTAAATTAGCACGTAAGTATTTTGTCGTCTTGGTGAGGCTTCAGGGTAATCACTTTCGCTTCCATAAACGACCTGGCACGCCCGAGGGGGGGGGGGATAAACTTCGGTTTTCCCCCTCTAAATGCTCTTATTTGGGCTCACGTTAATGGCCTCTACTAGATAAGTTCTATTCACTGCCTTCGCACGGCGCCGGAGGGGGCGTTGTAGGAGTTACTGACATAAGTCAAAAGGCGAATTTGAACATCTGGCACTTACAATCGGACTGGTAGACGTGCGTGTTTAACATTTAAACCGACTCAATTCAGATGACATCGACACCACAAAATAACACATTCATTTTTACATGTATTACTCTGGAATAAAAGTAGATGTGTATACACAAAATATGTTAACACATTAACGTCAAATTCTTGTGAAATGTGTATATTTTAGTGAGTTTTTTAGTAGTAATGGAATCAGGTGGTCTTTAGAGGTATTTCTAAGTAGTCTCCCTTATTAGCTTATCTTAACAAATGTTAAATCAAGTAGTCCGGTTAGCAGTAGAATTTTTTTATATACTTTTCTGTGTGTATTTATTATTTCAACTGTTGTTACTTATAATCGAATTAAAAATATCAATAATAATAATAATAATAATAATAATCGTAAAATATATATTGGCAATTGAAATGTTTACATTTGCAGATGGACCACACTGTTCTACGCAGATGTACAGAGACGTGTTAGTGAAACTGGTTCAGTTGAAAGTTTAGAACAAAATATACCCATGAATGATCCTGTAAGTATTTTTCTATAGTTTGGTTTGTAAGGATTAGTTTTGTTTTACGAGTTGATCATGAACTGATATCAGCTAGAGAACCACTGAAAACCAGGGAGTACTGAACAGCTGCTGTTTCATCCTAGTTTGGGAATCATCGGCAGTACGCATCCACCGGGGTTCGAACCCAGGACCTTCCGGTTACAAGGCAAGCTCGTATACCATTCAGCCACTGGGACCAGATTCAATGGCTCATGAATTCTAACTTCTACCAATTCGTGATTTAGCGTGACCCCAACCATTATCGTTGGTGGGACATCCTTCCACACAAGTGACATCCAGTTGGACCTCAATGGTCACGACTTCTCACTAGAACTCCAGGAAACTCCATCCTTTAGCAAGTCACTAGCTAACACTTACAAACCAAACTATAGAAAATTTGGATCAAGTCCCAGTGGCTATATGGTATATGGGCTTACCTTATAACCGAAAGGCCCTGGGTTCGAATCCCAGTGGGTGCGTACTGCCGATGATTCTCAAACTAGGATGAAACAGCAGCTATCCAGTACTCCATGGTTGGTGTTCAATGGTTCTCTAACTGATATCAGTCCGTGATCAACTCGTAAGTATTTTTTGTGTGTGCATTTTGTAATTCTACAACATTACCTTGTTCCGTCTTGATTCTCGTCTCATAGAAAAAAAGTGTGTGTGCATACACAGCGCTAATATTCATTTCTGTCTGTTTTAGGGCTATTTCTCATGGATAATCAGCTATTTTAAACTGACGTAAGTTGTTTTCTCTGTTGCTTTTTTTATAGGTAACTTTGTACTCATTTTTTTGTTTATTATGCTCAATGTGTGAAACACGTGTTGATTTTCTCTTTCACAATAATAAATGCTAATATTTCTACAGTTACTTTTTATGACTATGCCTTTGTATTTTGTGGATTTTATTTAATCCTTTTTTGTGATCAGACATATAGATAGATTTGACCAAAGTAATGCATAATCTATCTATCCGTTGATCAATTTATCGATCGTTCTTGCAGGACGTGTAGACAGAGAGAGAGAGAGAGTTGTTAGTTGCCTGAATAAACGAATCTCTAGTTGAAAGCTCTTAAATGTCATGACTCATTTTCGGCTCCACTGGTTATAGATGATGCTTTTCACGCCTTACTCTAACAAACAACATGCTAATTTCGGCAGCATGTTTCTTTATTTAATACTTGCTCATCATTTTGTCGTGTGACGCTGTAAGGACTTGAAGTTACATTGTTTTCATTCCATTGTCTTTGTTTGTATTACTGTACACATGATGTAGTGACGTAAAGTGTCTTGCCTTTGACTGACAAATCGTATGTTGATAATATCTGCTTATGTTATGTATATATATATGTATACATAGTGTAAAAGTCTCAAATAATGCTTTTTCGAATTAACGTATACGTATTGTGTCATGATGAATAACGAAACATTTGTCTTAGAATAAATTTGCACCAAGAAAACATTTTGAAGTGTTGCTTTCATTCATTATTCATTCACTTCATTTAACTAATCTATCACTATAAAACACAAAATAATGGAGAGCAAAGAATATCCCTTTCGATAAATTCCTCTTTCAGGCTATACAATTATATATATGCATGTTTATATACATAGAATATTTTAAATTAGTAGTTAATAACAATATTAGTGTTTTTTTAAATAATATCGATTTGTAAAGTAAGATCACAATGGAATCACAGTTCATTAAAGATGCTTAAATTATAATAATAATAATAAAGATATAGTAGCGAATAGAATATCAACTAAAACTACGAAAATTCCACAAAAATTCCGGATTATTCAAACCTGGATGGCCAAGGTAATGATAATGACTGAACTAACTTCTTTTGGGAGCATAAATTAGGCTTGTTAGTATGGATCCCCACAGCCTCAGCAATATTTAGTAGTCGAACTCTTAAAGCGAAATTGAGATTCGCAGGTATGCGGTAAATGACCCTGAAAGCATGATTAACGTCAATCTTGTTTTCTGTCTCCACAAGATGAGACAGAATAGCGCTGCGAATAGATTTTGTTTGTCCTTTACTTAACCAACGACGCAGGGTGATGTTCGGAAATTCGACGAGAAACACGCCTATGTAACTGGCTCCACAGGAGCAGTTAAATAGGTATATACAGATGGAAGAGGCGAAATTAGGCAGTTTGTCTTTTATTCCCGAACGCAGAAGAGGAGTGGTTTTAAAGATTCAGCGTAATTCTGCAGCAGGGAATGCTCTTTCTACCACTGCATTCCTCAGGCGTTGTGTTAATATCTCATTGATGATTGCTGAATTGCTTGCGCATAACATCTATCATCCACTGACTGACTCCCCACGTGTCACTAAATTTAAACTTAATGCCTTTGAAGTAAAAATGTTTCCTAAAATACATAAACATTTTGATTTAAAAATTAGTTCGTCTGCTACATATCGCTAGGGCTGTTGGGATCTACATTAAGAAACCTAACTTATGTATCCAAAAGAAACTGGTTCAGACGCTGTCCTTACCTTGGCATTCTGGGTTCTAATGATCCTCAGTCTTCTGTAGAAATTTCCTTAATTTATTTGATATTCTATTTGCTGTTACATCTTTATGCTTATTATAACTTAAGCGTCTTTCGTGAACTGTAATTCCATTGATCTTACTTAACAAATCGATAATATTTAAAAACACCGATCTTGTTAATGACGGCTATTCTAGGATATTCTGTATATATATATATATATATATATATAATTGTAGAGCCAGAAGAGGAAATTGTCGAAAAGGATATTTTTAAGTATTACTTTTGTAGGGATTTTGTTTGATTGGCTGGCGGATTTCATCATGAGCTGACATCCATTAGACAACCATTGGAAAACCACCACGGAGTACTGGACATCTGTTTCTTCCCAGTTTGGAACTCCTCAGAAGCACGCACCCACGGGGGTTTGAAGTCACGACCTTCTGGTTACAAGGCGAGCTCGTAGACCACTAAGCCACTGAGACCCGATCCAGTGACTCATGAAAACGTTAATGATACTCTCTCAGGTGATTTACAGATGAAGTATTAGATGAGTTGGAATTAGAATCAATGACCCAGCCTGTTGAATGTCTTGCATCTGAGTCAGTCAGTTGGTACAACTGATAAGGTAATTACTAGAGTCAAGAGATTAGGATAAATTCGTATATGGGTGGTGCACACTTTTAAACAATCTTTTATGTCCAGTTAACAAACTGTGTCATGTATTATTATTATTGTTATTATTATTATTGTTTCCTTCAATTCCTAGAGGAACATAGGGCTTCAGCTGTTCGTCTCCATTGCGTTCGGTTCTCTGCTACAGTCTTCACCTGGCTCCATGTCTGCCCACACGTTTTCATCTCCTCCTCACATGACCTCCTCCAAGTCACCCACCCTCGCACTGACGACCAACTCACCGCTTCCCTTTCATTCGGGGGCCACTCGAGCAATGGCTTGTCTAGTGATGTTGCTTACTTGATGGTTTGTTTCCTCAGAGTATGGCCAGCCAATCCACCTCCATTTCTTCCTGCCTATTTGTTTCACAATCGGTTCCATTTGGGTTGGTTCGCTCCCAAAGATCCCTGTTGCTGATCTTTTCTGGCCGGTCATCTGATCTAGAGTATTGAGCGAAGACAACTGTTAATGAAGGTGTGTAGTTTGTTTAAGATGCTGTTTATGACGCGCAGTGCAAGTCTCTGATCCACCCGTATAGTGAGTAGCACTGACTGACTTCACATTGGAGTTGAAAATCCGGATGTTATTTTTGATGCTGAGTACTGTTGACCTCCACACAGACTTGAGAGTAGTGAGAGTTTGTCTTGCTTTTCCGATTCTTGCTTTGATATCCTCGTCAGTTCCGTCTTCCTGTATTTGAAACGATGCTTCCCAGTTAGGTGGGTAGGTAAAAGAGGTTGTTTCTTTCAGGTTCCTCCCATTTATGCTGATCGTTGTCTGTTGTTGTTGTTCTTGCCCAGGAATCTTCATCATATCTGTTTTCTCTATGTTCACCTGAAGTCCTATCCAAATAATTATATTTTCATTATAGTTTGAGATTATGTCATGCATATTAACTTTATTTCATTTTTCATACAATATGTAGTAATTCATGAATAATCCCCATCCACCCATTAAATAAAACAAAACACTTAGTTCAGTGAAGAGTCTCATTCTGTACAATCGAATTTATACACAGTTTCTTCATGAAGGGGAGTAGTAATCAAAAGTGATGAGTTGTCACAAACATGATTGTTAATACTAGTCAATGCATAAAAGCAGTTGAATAAGCGTATTAGAGTTACGTAATAATAATAATGAGTAATTCAATGAGTGAGTTGTGATCAGGATGCACATAGAAACGAAGGAAAATATGGAGTTACGTAAGAGTTCTAAAGAAATCCTAGAGTTACAAGGAGTTGGAAAAATAAACAAGCAAACAAAATTCAAGTCAGTAGAAATCAACAAAGTTGTTACCATGACAGTAGGAGTGGTTGAATAATTTTCTTTTCTATGCCTAGGTACGATCTCTAACTGAATGATTAGGGCTTCAGCAGTACAAAGGAGACGAAAGCGTATCGCCTTTGGTAGGTTGTTCTTCACTTTACTCTGACTGTTCCCAACAACAGTGGGGTTAGGCAGGGTTGCCCAATCTCTCAATTTCTTTTTAACTTTGCCATCGATGACATTCTGGAGTCAGCTCTGAAGGATGTGCGTGAAGGTGGTGTAGATCTGCTACCTGAAGATAGACTTTTCGACCTCGAGTATGCAGACGATATCGTCTTACTGTGCGATAGCATGCAGGTTGCCCAAATCGCACTTAATCAGTTGGCGGTCAGTGTCTGTAAGTATGGTATGTGCTTTGCACCGTCTAAGTGCAAAGTACTGTTACAAGATTGGCAGGAGCCTGTACCTGCACTCACTCTTGCGGGTGAACCGCTTTAAGTTGTTGATAAGTTTGTGTATCTGGGTAGTTGTGTGATTGCTGGCGGAGAGGTGACGGATGAGATTTCCAACCGTATAATGAAGGCTAGGGTGGCATGCATCAACTTGAGCCACCTCTGGCGCCGTCGCGACGTTAGCCTGGCTGTTAAAGGTTGGGTATACAATGCTTCGGTGCGGGCTGTCTTGCTCTACGCCTGTGAAACCTGGCATCTCCGAGCTGGGGATGTGAGGCGACTCTGTGTGTTCGATCATCGCTGTCTTCGCAGGATTGCTTGCGTTCGATGGTATCATCGCGTGAGTAATTCTGAGGTTCGGTGGCGTGTGTTTGAACACAGTGAAGATCACCATTCATTGAGTGTCGTCATCTGGAAACACCGGCTCCGGTGGCTTGGACATGTGCTGCGAATGTCATCCCAGAGGCTTCCGTACAGGTCTCTGTTCGCTAGCCCTGAGACGGGATGGAAAAGGCGGAGGAGTGGTCAGTCCATGACGTGGCGTCGTGGGATGAAGGATTTTTGTGCTAGATTAGCATCGGTTGGTGCGTCACGACTCCCTGGTTTGGGTCCGCGAAATAGCTCGAACCGATGGCTCGAAACGTTATCGGATATGGCCAAGAATCGTAATCAATGGTGAACGTGTTGCAATTTCCTTCTTTCTTCCCTTCCTGATGATAGTTAACGAATACTGTTTGAACTTGTTAAACATGACTGTTTTCCTTCCAGATGAAGTTTTTTATCCGTTTTCTACTTATATTTTTACTTTTAATCTATGTTGTTTTATTATTATTGTGTGGCGCATCTTT